AACAAACCATCACTAGTTCGTCCATGGCAGTAGCAAAGGTTTAAAACGAGAGAGAGAATGGGAAGGAAGGAGGAAGAAGAAAGAAGAAAAAGAAGAAGAAAAGAAGAAAAAGAAAGAAAAGAAAAAGGGAGAGAAAGAGGGACGAACCTCCACCGGTTCGTCCATAGAGGCGGGAGAAGGAGGAAGAAGAAACAAAAAGAAAGAAAAAAAGAAAAAAGAGAAAACGGGAAAGAGAGAGAGAGAGAAAAAGTAAAAAAGGAAGCTTTGATATGAAATTAGGAAGGAAAATAGGAAATTTGTGTTTATGGGTTTAATTTTTAAGTGATGTGGGTTGGGCTTGGCCCAACCCACGCTAGAATGGGCTAGAGTAGTCGGTCCGACCTCTCTTCTCTCGTTTTTTTTTCAAAAAAAATTTCCTTCGTTGGTCGGATTGTCTAGCCCCCTCTCTCCCTCAAAGAAATCATGCTGGACGAGTCCAGCCCCTCCCCTCTCCAAAAACATTTAAGAAAAAAATAAAAAAAAATCAATTTTTTTTTTATGCATGTTTGTAATTAATATTTAAGTATTGAATCGTCTTTAATTATTTAGTTAATGTAATTTTAATTTTAAGTTCATTTGTCCATGTTAGTTAGTTTATATTAATTTAGAATTTGTTATTGTAAGATTTTGTAATTGTTTTAATTTAACCTTGAATTTATTTTATGCATGCCAGTTATTTAAATTTCGGTAATTGAATTTTCTTTTATTTATTTAATTGATGTAGCTTGAATTTATTTGTTTAATAATTAGAGTCGATAATTAATGAGTGGAGGATTGTCAAGTCTCCTAATTCTTTAGGGACCGATGAAAATCTTTCACTAAAGAAAAAAACAAAATAAATAAATAAACGAGTTAAAATAGAAAAATAAAAAATAAAAAAATCATAAAAACTCTTAATAAAGTCTCCTATCCGATAAGGACTATTGTTAGCAAAAAATCATTCTTAATAAACAAGTGTTCTCCGACATACCGATTGTGTCGAGACTCGAAAAGTGGATCCGATGTTTGAATCGACGTGTCTCTCGCGAAAGGGGTTCGACGATAATTTCAATACGATGCCACGCTAAAAAATAAAAAACATAATTTGGCTTGAAATAAAGGACTTGATTTAAATCAAAAAAATAATTTGGTCAAAAAATGAAACACTTTAGGAGTTAAATTTAGGACTAAACTAGACGTGGCACCTTTCTTAGGAAAGGGCGTTTTGGGTGATTAAATATCTTCCCAAAAGCGTAACCAACTCCTAACCTTAGAATCTTTGAACCAATGCTCACTTTAGGTTCCTAGTTCCTTCAATACTAGGTGGCAATTCCAAACTCGTAAAATAAATTTTGTAAAAAAATAAAATTTTAAACAAGAGATTTTTTTCAAGAGTCCCGTCCGATGTCGGGTAGCAACAATAGCTTTTTGAAAGCTTCTTTATTTTTTTGTCTCCAGTGTGAGGGGTGATCCTAATTCGGGTTTGTAAGAAAGGAATAAAAAGCTCAAAGTTGGACTCCAAATGATGAATTTGCTTGAGTGAGATAAAATTTTCAAAGATGGTCTTTCCTCATTCTATTGACAAAATATATAGTCATATGAGTCTCATTCTAGCAAGCTCATATTGGAATATATGAAATTCATATGGTCATAAAAATTTATCAAAAAGACAGATTGAGCATTTCAAGTACTTCTAGGAATATATGAAATGCAATTAGAAATCTAGGGACATATGAAAGAATTTGAGTGTTATATAAAAATAGATGAGTATATTTACTCTCAAAATTTTATATTCATACTTTCCTTACTTTGTTTAGATTATCTATTTTTCTTATTTGATTTATGACTTTTATATTCATAAAGATTGTTATTTTGAAGTCCATATTTTCTTAGGATTGGAATAGAATTAATTAGTTGTTCTTGAATGTGATTGGACTTAGATTTCTAATGGAATTAGGCTAAAGTTTTTGTAGTCCAAATTGGACAAGTTTTCTTTAGTTTAGGCTGAATTTTTTAGCATTGTTTAAGGCATCTTATGTCATGTAGAGAAACAACTTTTATTGATTAATAAAATTTTTAAGAAGCTTTTTGTAAAATCATCTTGCGTATCCTTGTGCTTTTGCTTAGAGTTCTTGTGAGTTATCATTATGATTTCTTAGGATTATTTGTTTTACTATATCCTTAAATTTGATCACTCAAGGTGGTCTTTCGTTATTGATAAAAAAAATTTAACCAATTCAAAATTAAGAGCTGGATTTTTTAGACTTTATTAATTCTAATGTAGAAGAACTTAGCTAGCATTGTATTAGAGTTAGTTGAATTCGACTTTATCAAATTTGTGAGTGTTTGAGCTTTGGCTCCTTGACTCTTAAAGTAGTAGATTTGACCAACAACAATAGCAAAAAGTTTGAGTAATTGGTTTGGTTTAAAGTCATCACAAGATTGGTGTTAACTCGATATAAGAATTTTGGTTCGCAACCGCATATGTTATTAAAAAAGTTTATTTCACAATGCCTCCGAGAAGACATCAACACCAAATCACCAAGGTTGATATGGAAAAAGAGGTGGAGTGTTTGCAACAAAGAAAAAAGGCGTTTGAATGGATGGTTTAAGAAGCGAATAGTTGAGAGTCCAAAGGTAGTGACGAAGATGAGGTCTAAGGGGGGTCCTTTTCAATCATTACAAACTAAGTCATCTTTTGAGTAAGAAGGATTCATGCAGCTTGGGTGTGTCATGAAGAGACTACAACGACATCATGATTATTATGTCGGGATAGAAATATCTTACTTTGAGGGTAAGTTTAATCTAGATGACTTCATTGAGTGGAAACACACTCGTAGAGAGGATAATTGACTACAAAGATGTTCTTGGTGATAAGAAGGTCAATCTTACGACAATCAAGTTGATAAAAAAAAATGTTTACGTGGTAGGAGAACTTGAAGAGGCAACAAATATGTGATTAAAAAAGCAAGATCACATCATGAGAAGATGAAGAGGGCCTTGAACCATAAGTATTTTTTTTAATTATCATAGATAAAATACTTATTTTAAATTTCATCCTTTAGACAAGCTAACTTGAGGGTGGAGGCCTATATGCTACCGAATTTGAGTAACTTATGTTAAAATGAGAAATTAATAAGCTAAAAAGCACAACCTTGCGAGGTTTTTTTTTTTTTTTTTGGATTAAGCCTTAAGATTACGGGTGTTGTGCAATTACAACATTTGCATGGTGAATGATGTGGTAAAGTTATTCCTAAAGATAGAACGTCATCAAAAGTCAATAAAGTGGAAGAAAGAGTTTCAACTACGGAGATTCAACCTAGTCTAGTAGATTCGATAGGACCCGAGGTGGGAGATGGCAAAGAGGAAAAGGCACTTCAAGTGGGGCCAATGAAATAAACACAATTGGATCCAACAATAATTTGTAAGAGCTAAAGGATCGAGCCCATTGCTTTAAATTACCTTAACTAAAGGATAATTCGTCTTGTGAAAGAGACCGAGAGATTAAGGTAGTTGATGGTTCAACCAAGAAGGTAAAAGAAGAGATCTTTGCTAACAATAAAGAGTCGTTGATGGTTTGAAGAGCTCTTAAAGACAAAGTAGAGCAAAAGGAGAGGTGGCAAAGACATAATTTCAATAGGAGAAGTTACAAGAACATAATTTCGACAATGATGGTGGAGAAACTCAATTTATTGATGGTTGATGATCCTAATCCATACAAGGTAGCTTAGTTGAATAGAGGTTATGATATTCAGGTGACGAAGAAGTGTCTTATGCAATTCTTGATAGAGAAGAGGTATCAAAATGAAGTGTGGTTTAATTTCTTGGATACGTGTCATATTTTATTGAGAAGATCATGGCAATACGATAGACGAGTTGTGGATGACGGGTTCAAAAACACATACTCGTTCCATCTAAAAAGAGAGAAGATTGTGTTTATGCCTATGAAGAAAGAGCTCTCATCCAACAACAAAACTAGCTAGAGTAGTGTGCAAATCTATGTTCCTTAAGGCTTTAGAGGAGCATGCCGGTGCCATATAAAAGGTTGAGAAAACTGACTTTGTTGGTGTCCACAAGACCAAAAATTCTAACAAAAAAGATGGTGCAAATGAGTATGAAGCTGCTGGAAAGTTGTCCCAATTATCCCCATGTGATAAGGCTTTCCAAACACAAATAGAGCTTGTTGTTGACGAAAAGAAGCAGAATGTTTTAGACAATATGTCACTGTCTAAAATCATAGGCGCTGAATCAGTCTAAAACATCATTATCCAAAATTGTAATGTATTTAGAAAGCAATACGAATACAAAATCAGTAGACCTATTAGTGGCTACTCAGCTATCACGACAGTAACAACATTGATTTGTACAGGCAAAGAATGGCAGAAGAAGCTGCCAGCTAGTGTTACCCTCAATCATAATTTGCAACAATGAGATGGTATGTCATGTGAAACATGGAAGGATTATAGGATGAGGCAGGAGTGAATGACGTCGTCATTGTTTTTTATCAAGATGATGATACATTTTCCTTGAAGTTGGGACTAGAGCAGTGGGATTAATAGATGCGTACCATACGAATTCAGAGAGAAAGAAGAACATGGAGAACTTGTTTGATGATACTACCTCTTTTCTATCAAAAGAATTTAAACCTCAAACTGAACTTACAGTAAAACAAGTTCAATATAAGTAGGAGAAGATCAACTACTGCTGAAATCTTTATGCTCATGTTCATGACACCATGGCATTGAAAGCTGTTTTTTGCAAAGCCAAAGACAGTTTCTCTGTGGAGAAAACGAACTTACTCATTTTATAAAAAATGTGTGTCAACAAAGACAGAGCAGAAAACTCTTTCAAACTTGTAAGAGTCCAACAAATTTTTGAAACAAAACTCGAAGGAATTGAATCAACACAGAAGGGCTAGAAAAAAAGTAGTTGAAGTTAGAATGGTCTCTGCAGAACAATGAAGAAAAGATGAAAAGGAAAACATGGGGGAACCAAGTCAAGTAGCAGATATGATTGACTTAGGGATTGCAACGAAGAGCCTTAGTGGAAAAATTGGAGATGGGCTAGAAGACATGGGTTGGATCATCTTTATTGGATATTCAAGAGATCGAGGAAAGCATGAATCAAAACTTGAAGTGAGTTTTCGTCGACCTACGGAGGTTGACACAGTAGTGTGGCCCATTCCAATTTAGGTCATTAATTGAGCTAAAATTTCTAGCTTAATTATTTAGGATCGAAATTTTATGTTATTAATTTACTTTTCTTATGTAATTTAAGTTACCTACTCTTTTTATGAGATTTAGTTTACCTACTTTTTTATTTGATTTAAAATTTTTATATTCATAAAAATTGTTATTTAAAAGTTCATATTTGTTTAGGATTGAACTAGAATTAATTAGTCCTTTGTAAATGTAGATTGGACTTAGGTTTTTCAAGTGAGATTATGTTAAAGTTTTTATAGTTCAAACTAGTGTGGGTGCCCGGGCTTCACTCCGGGATCGTATTTCATTGCGATAATTTTTTTATTAGGTATAGTTTTTTATTTGATATGAGTTCTCTTTTATTTATTGTTATTTTTTTATTTGATATTATAAAATTTATGAATATTATTGCATGTCAAAGTTTAACATAGTGTAACAATTTTAATTATTGACTAAAAAACATATGTAGGTTGAGCTTTGAATGGGCGAAAAATTTTAATTATGTACTAAGAAACATAAATACACTGATTTGTAAGGACAAAATTTTTAATTATTGACTAAAACACATATACATATTTGTTTCAATATAAAAACATATAAATAGTTAGCACTTTCCATTCCAATTTGTTTTCCTTCTTTTTTTTCTTTTTTTAGACTGGACTAGGCTGAGATTATCCTAGTCCAGCCACACATGGATTGGGTATAGCTCAACCCATTGTAATTTTAACTGGACCCAAGCCCATAAACATCAATCAAACCTCCTTTTTCTTTTTTCTTTTTTTTTTCTTTTTTTTTTTTATCAAACCTTCTCTTTCTTTTTTGCTTCTTCGTCTCACCCGATTTCTCTCTCCCTCTTCTCCTTCTCTTTTCTTCTTCTTCCTCTCTCTGTCAAGTTCTTCAAAAGGAAGTCTCTGGTCCTCTATCTCTCTCTCTCTCCTTCCTTCTTTCCCTCATTTTCTCGTTGCCTTTCTCTCCTCTTCTCCTCCTTCCTTCTGCCTCATCTCGTCTTCTTCTTCCCTCTTCTGTTCGATCTCAAAATTTCTCTCTTTCTCTTTTTTCCCCTTTAGAGCCTTTATTTTTCTTTGAAATTGAGAAGGAATGTTAAAAACCCTAAAAATGACATATCATTTTTTTAGGATTTCTTTTGCAGGGAAGTTATTGGTGGATGTTATGTCTTTGAGGGAATCAGAGGTCACAAATGGGGCGAAGGTCATGCTTATGGTCTCTCAAGGCTTGGACCAAGGGGTATCTTTGTCATTTTATTTTTGTTAAATTAGAACCCTTAATGGCATCTTTTTATGAAAGTCTGATTAAAGATTTTCACTTTAGTTATTATAAGCTTTTAACTGAAAAAAAAAAAAAAGAGAGAGAGAATTCAAAATTCCCATGTTTAGTTTTATTGGAATCTTTATTAAATGATAGCTTAAAGTTGTAAGCTTTTTAGTTTTGATTATGATTGAAGTTGATTGAAAAAATGTGTGTTTGTGTTTGAGATGAACTTTGACACTTTGTGTTATTCAATCATGTTTTGTTGGTTTTAAATTCTAGGTTTGTTTGAACAAGATAGTCTAACACTAAAAGATGTCAAGACTCGACTTGTTTTAAGGGCTAATACTGACAATAACAAAAGGGTGTATGAAAAGTTTGGAGCTTTGATTGATAAGAACAGTTTAGAATGATGGAAAGCTACTGAAAAAAAAAAAATTAGTATAACTGAGTGTGAATGATTAATATAAGTGAATAGTCACAGTACTTATTCTTTTAGTTTTGTTTAAAATTGGACAAGTTTTCTTTAGTTTAGGCCAAATTTTTGAACATTATTTAAGGCATCTTATGCCATGTAAAGAAATAATTTTTATCGAGTTATAAAGTTCTTGAGAAACTTCTCTCAAAATTAACTCGTGTATTCTTGAGATTTTATTTAGGATTTGTTTGTGTTATACTGGTGTCTGCATAGGATTACGTGTTTTGATGCTTATTTAAAATCGATCACTCAAAGTAATGCTTTTTTTATTGATCAACAAGTTTTGACCTATTCAAAATTAAGAGCTGAAATTTTCGAGCTTCATCAATTTTAATATAGAAGAAATCGACTAGCCTTACGTTAAAATTAGTTGAATTTAGCTTCATTAACTTTATGAATATTTGAGTTTCGGTTCCTTGACTCTTGGCCAAGTAAATTCAGCCAGCAACAATAACAAAAAAATTGAAATATTTGATTTGGCATAAAGTGATCACAAGAACGATGTGAAAAGTTGTCAATTATTGCGGAAAAGGATGTGTTAATATCATCAATCGTTCAAAAGACGCTTTCTACCAAATTGCTGATCCTGATGCTGGCAAGTTTTAGTCGAATACGACCAGTAAGTGCTACTAAGTGCTGCTGTTGTTTCATTAATGAAACTCAATTAGCATATGAGGGTTTACAATTTTTAAGAACAGCTAATTAAAATTACTAATTGATAATCCTTCTGTTCTTCTTTTTTTTTTTTTTTTTTTTTTTTTTTGGGCACGGTTTGAAGGTCAAGTATAAGCTTATGCTAGTATTAAAATAAAACACCACATGACGAAACTTGTTTCATGGATCGATGATGTAAACTAAAGTAAAAGACATCATACTTAAGAGTTGCCTAAATAAGACAGTTGAGATAGTAATCAAATCCTCAAATCTGTTCTTTGATAATACTAACTAATACTAACTTAATTTATTTTGTTATTAACAAAATGCATCCATGTTATGCTTCTTCTGAAGCGGATCCACACGGGAACTGTCTTGTCCAGCTCAAGGATGGGTGCGTTTACTGCTCTCTTATATATAATATTTTGGGCCTCTTCGGTTCAATTAAGCCCAACCCACAAGAAACCCGGTAACAACAACTGCGCCCAAACCTATGGCCGGCAATATTTGCCCACTTGCTTCCAGTCTCCTTTCGTAATAATTTGCTGATTGATTGAAAACAAATCTTGTTTAGAGATACTAAACATCATGATTAGTGATTGTGCTATGCGATTAGAAATGTAAGGCTAAAGTGAGAAATTTCGTTCCAAAATTAAAAGACAAAATCCCACGTGTCATGATAATCTAAACTAATAAAGGTAATGGCAAATTAAAGCACCTAGCAGAAACAAGGAATCCTGGCCTCGTGCCAGTTTATGCCTACCTACTTAGTCTTTTCTGGCATAAAAAGCCTCTGCTATTGACCCATCAATCAAAATGTCAGAATAGTTTTTGATCCTCTGATAATTCAAAGGTCCCCTTAGGACGTCACCCGACATCATATGTCAAATCCATGTGTTAACCCAAAACCCTGCCCTAACCCTTTATCCGTACTTTTGTTTCAGGACTAAAACTTGGAGTGCAAGTCTTCAGCGTGATTGCTGCCTTGCTGGTACCAGGCAAAAACAAATATTTTTTGGGAGGGGGAAAATTGAGATACTTATCTTCGGGGATAACATAGATTGATGGATATAAAAGGAGTACATAATTCAATCCGTTGGAGGATTAACAACTGCTTCAAATCAACTCCAAACAGATTTAAGACCCAAGCAAAGACCTCCAAGACCAAGCCCCTTTATTCCAAAGATCCCATGACATAAGACCAGAGACACAGACCCATACCGGAAACTAACAAAACAAAGAACTGCATAAACATGAAGCCACCACACCGGTAAGCTTGACAAGGGGGTGTGACTCTTGACTCACAATGATGAAATATAATAAGGACAAGCCATCATTCCACCACCACTGCCACCACTAAGCCCCAACACCACCTCCTCCTCCTCCTCCACATCTTTCCAACACTGCATGTTCATCATCTTAAAAGGCGTGCGCCCCTTCACCTCATGGTAAGTCATGTAAATCAAACACCCACCTCCAGGCAACTCCTGCCTCACCACACTGTCACACGAGTACCCATCCACGTCAGCACACTCCATGGCCCACCACTGGACCCCACCACCTTGGCACGTGACAGCAACAGAGAAAACTCGTGGTCCAAAACACTTGAGCACCCTCTGCACCAACCCCTTCGACTTAACCTCACCTGGGTTGAACCCCATAGCCTCATAGCTAGCATAACTGAACCCATCCTCTGGGGTCACGTGCACTGTTGACAAAGCTGTACCATCAATCCCATTCATGGAATACCCGCAAGGGTCAAAGTCAAAGTCACAGATCATGTGACTGGGCATAATCTCATTAATCCCGGACATTTCAGTCATTTCAGCAGCCGAATAATCCGCCGTACTTTTGTAAAATGCTGCAGCTTTCTTTCTATCCAAGCCAGTCATGCACATCTCTAGAGTAACAACAGATGTCTGATCTTTGATCAACGGCTGTGATTTAGAATCCTTACATGCGACATAAATATGCCAGTTACGATTAGAAGAGGCAGAATCGCCTATAACATAGGCCTTAGCATTTAAATACCCAAAAAACCCATTCAAAGCAGTGACTTCTTCAGGAAAGCTTCGATGAGGGGCAGGCTGGTAATTAGGGAAAATGAAGCTGCCACGTGAGTAAGTCACGTGACACACATCAAGAGAGAGTGACTTAGCCAGCTTCAGAATGGGTACAATTGACAAAAGCAGCTTCGTGGTACCGCAGGTTTTGAGAATTAGTTTTGTTGGGTAGATGAACAAGCTCGACTCGGAAAGAACGTAAGAGTCGAACTCAGTGTTACTGAGCTGAGCCACGATGGTGCAACAAGCAGGCTCGAGGATTGAGTCGATTTGGGCTCGAGTTAAGGCCCGTAGGCCCAGCCCATTTGGGTCCTTGAATACGGATGGCTCAGAGAAAGTGATTTCGAGTCGCTTTTCAAAGCCTTCGAATCCGATAGGGGAAGGAGGTGGCTGTGGGGAATCAATGGCCATGGTTTCAAGACTAAATTTTGAGAGCTCAAATACTGCTGAAATAAGAAACTAATGTGCTTTTTTTAGCTGCTTTTGAAATTCAGGCTGGCCTCAAACGATTGATTTTAAGTCTTCTTTTTGTTTATTTGAAATTAAATGGAGAAGAGAGAAGAAAATAAGAAAATCCTACGCTACAGAAGGTGCCATGTATTTGTTCTCGGATCGTATCAGGATGGCATCCTCACGCACTGCAAACGAACACCAACAAAACCAAAAACGAATTACAAATTGAAACAAAACATTTTTGTATGTATAAATTTTAGGTTCAGAGTTAATGAATGGTACATACGTTGGAGTAAGCAGCAGATCGGAACTTTTCAATGCCACCGTTTGGACGAACGTCTTCAATGCTATATCCAAGAGGGACTTCGTATTGAACTGAGTTACCACTGCTGCTGCTAGACTTCTTTTTGCCTCCTTTTGTCTCCATTACAACATTCACGCTTCTCTGCAAAAACCAAAAATTAAACTTTTAAATTCAAATCACGAAACCTATCTATACAAAGAACAAGATTACAAATCTTCACATATTACAAAACCAAAACACCCAATATGTAAAAGACCAGAACAACAAGAGTTACAACATCACAAACAAAGAGAAATATTGAAAACCCTAGATTCAGATATTTACACATCCCAATATGTAAAGACCAAAACAACAAGAGTTACAACATCACAAACAAAGAGAAATACTGGAAACCCTAGATTCAGATACATACATATCTTACTTTGCTATAAAACTTTTGAATATTCAAGAGCGTATTGATTTAGAAGAATATCCAAACAGAGCCTTAAATTTGGGAAGTAAATGAGATACGCGAGGAAGCAGAAAGAAAGGCGTTTGTTGCGTTATAGAAAGGCAACAGAGGGAGAGTTTTGTGTGTGTGAGAGAGATAAGAACGGGAAGAGAGAATTTATAGGCGAACCCCAAAAGAAACGGCAAGAGAGTGGATTTAGTTAAAAACTTATTTGGAGTGTTGATAGCCAACATGAAAGAAAGGATTCCACGTGGCGGATTTGAACTAAAACCTAGGCACGTTGGCTCTTACTTGGCTCAAATTTATTGGAGAACAATTTTGCTGTTTAATTTCACTCTAAAAGAAAGAGCGTGTATTGCACGAATAAACGAGACAAGGAGGAATCCTCTCAGGTTATCTCCCGAGATGTTCATTATTCAATTTTAATTATATAAAAAAAAAATCAAATCGAATCAAATTCAAATATTAATTTTGATTTGATTTTTTTTGATGAAATTTAAAAAATAAAAACTGAACTGAAATCATTTCAATGCTTTTGTTCAGTTAAATTTTTTATTTTTTAAAATTGGTTAAAACCGAAAAATCAATTTAATTTTTTAAATATATATATATTAAAGAAGAAAGAACAATCGTTCCCTTTCTCCTCTTCACTTGAGTAATTATGAAATAGCATCAAAATCTTATGATCATTTGCATAAATATTCAAATAGTATTGTTTAGATATATTTAATTTTTATTTTATCCCAATTATAAAGAAAAAAATAAAGAAACATATGGAAATTTAATGTAGGCATTTATATTCTAAACTTAATTTTATAAATATATTCAAATACCAAATCTCTAACCATGGGATGATAATTATTTGAGCAAAAAGGTTATAATCATCAATAAAACATGAGATTTTGTACTATAACATTTTTTTCAGATTTTTTCAAAAAAAAAATGATAAAAACTAATAACCAAAAATCAAAATTGAAATTTTGGTTTTTTAACTAAGATTTTGGTTTTTTAATCAAAATACCGAATAACATTTCTGCTCAATTTTAATTTTCTTTCTTAAATGTTTGGTTAACCAAAATACATCAAAATTGAATTGAAAAATCAAACGAACACTCCTAGTTATATCAAGCTATAGGAAATTTGGCGCGTTACTGTGAGTGAAAATAGGCATCTGATAAGTAAGTAGTGAGCACCGACTTCTTTAGTGCGTAGGAACATTTGATCGGACTGAGTTCAATTAAAGACGATAAAAGTTGCATATAGCCTGTATGCTATGTAGCTACTTGGATAACATGTGGGCAACTGTAGGACAAGTTGAGGCTGAATCTTATACATGTGACTATCTAGATTCCTTCCTGGGTTTATGAAAGCATCTGCACCCTCTATTTGATTAAATCATTAAGGCAAATTAATCCCCACAAAAGCCTAATCAATGGATTCTTAACCCCCAATATTCCTAATTTATGCCAAGAAATGGACGGCTAGCATTGCTTTATTGTTTGATATGTATATTTTTGAATTATCAAATTTTGGCACCGCGAGAGATTAATGTATACTATATTTATCTTCCAAAAGAAAATGAAACGTTATTAACAAACTGCAACTAAATTCCAATTTGACTATAGGAAGACCATTCATTCTGACATTGAAGAGCCATCCGTTTCTATGACAGATAAAATCATCGCCGGATGGTTTCAACTTGGTCGCTGGGAGAAAACACTGGTGAATTGTGATCGTCCGCTTCCGCTCGAAACAAATTGTTTTGGCTTTTGTCAGAAAAAGAAAAGAGAAAAGAGAGCATCACATATCCGACAAAGGCACGCCTCAAAACGTGGATGTTGCGCCTTTGCTAACAAAACACAATTTGGGAGATGTTTCTCACCACATTCCAGAAACAGCATTTATTGGAAAAGCAGTTTATGCAAACGATAGTCAAAAGCTTCACACTTTTATTTGATAGGAGGCTCTTTGATTTTTCTAGAATGATGTTCTGTGGCTTTGTAATTATATAAGATAACTTTAAAAGCACTTTTAACATTAGAGAAACAAATGTATGAACTTGTGCGCATTGCTTTATGGTTCATGTATAAACTTGAGTATTCTAAAGAAACAGAGCGGAAGAATGGCAATTATCTTCTTATCCATTGTTCAAGTTAAAAGGCAAAGTACAGTAATTACACAAAGATAATTGGTTCTTAAATTATGAGACAAAGTAGCGCATTGTTCAAGTTTAAAAGTAAAGTATCGTAGTTACTTTTGAATATTTTAAAATTTTTCATACAAATATAACTAAACATTAAAAAATAACTAATTATCTTCTTTTTTTACAAAAAAAATCATCTTTTTTGAGAAACGAACGGACTTTAATGGAATTGATTTAACAGAATAAAATAATATTCTTGTGCCTTAATTTTTTGTTGATCCCATGGGGGATAAAGCTTTCTTGTAGTTGAAGAGATTCTCGTTAATCTTTCAAGTTTCAGCTTTTTGGTTTCTTTTGCCTAGAGTTTAAATCCGTGTTTTGTTTGTATTCGGCTGTTAGCGTATTGAGATTGGTTCCATATTCTACGTTCTTCTTTTGTCTCTATCTAGAGGTGCATCCCATGGCCAATATCTAGAGTACTGATATAAATTATAAATGATTAAAGCTTCCTCGTTATTAGTCTCTAATGGACTACCTGTATTGTTTTGCATGCATGGTTTTTCATTTTTACAGGAACACAATAATTTTACTAATACTAAGTTGACACATGCAAAACAAATAACTCTTTTAATTTTTATTAAAAAAATTAACAAAACTTACACCATTTTAATGAATCATTATTTTTCAAGTAACATCATGTCATTTTATGAACAAAATATAAAGGTTTCTGAATTTCTTAAATTAGAGTTTTTTTTAAAACATGATTTTTCTTCCAAATTACGAAGGCTAACAAGTTTTTTATTATCATACATCAAAAGAGGAACAAACCATACTATTAGGCTCTATTGATAACATGTTTTAGGTGACTACCACTCGTCAATAATTGTTAATTCCTTTCAAATAACAAGATAAAATCGCAAAAAATTTATTTAAATGACCTAATCTCTTAAATTTTACAGCATAAAACTCTTATCTAGAAATAAAGTTGTAACTAAAAATTAAATTTGAAAAGATAAGACCTTGATGGTAAAAAATAAATAAAAAGATGAGAAAATCTCATTCATATGAAAGAAAATAAGAAACATATTTCTTTATCGAGTATATCAAATAAATATGGATTGTTGTGCTTAACAAAAATGTGTTTTATATTGAATATTTACTTAATGAAACAACAAACTAGCTCTATTCCATAATCCGTAATAGTTTACGAAATTATGACTATTTAGAGGAAATAAAATATCATTATCTACTCATAACAATCTAGGTGTGGACATGAGATTTGATAGCCAATACATTTTGAGTTTTGACCTTATAATTATTTCGATTTAACTAAGCGTATTTGAAAGTAAGGTCAACCTCATAAAAATTAGGCTCATTCTAGCACTCTTCTAAATAAATTATGCCAAGAGTACTCTTGTAATCCGGACACCTAACGAGACTATAGAATTTCATTGAAAGTTTTATATAAAAATCCAATTTCTATACATTATTACAAGATGAATGTACTCATTCTATAAAAAGAGATGTAACGATCGGTAAGTTAATTGTTGGTTTAATGGTAATTTTTGTCTCAAATCTATTGCGATTTGGTAATTTCGAATCCATAGTACCAAATCGCATAATTTGGACCCCAAAGTTTTGGAATTAAGCAAAATTGATCTAATTTTCATAATTAGAGTTAAATGATTGATCGTTACTATGGTCGTTTATTTTTTTTTTAACCGTTAAACTAAAATTAAGTTTAGTTAGATTAAGGATATAAGGTAGATGACTCATCGCCCGCCTCACATCCCTAATCAAACCAAAAAAATTTACAACGATAGTGGAGAGAGAGAGAGGACGTTAAATTTTCTACAATTGAGAGAGAGAGAGAGAGAGAGAGAGAGAGAGTTGGTAGTGTTACCTTGATTTTACACATAAACACTAGAGAGACGATATTCGAGGAGAGGGCAGAGGTAATGTTAAGGTTTTATGGATTTTTTCTATCCGATTGAATTGGGGGTAAAATCGGTTAAGGCATTTTTGAAATTTTGAAATCTTCCTCAAATTTGGTCCGTGGTCGTGAGATTTCATGGCTTTCCATTCTTCTTCTTCTTCTCTACTTCAAAATCATTAAAAGCATGTAATGTGGAAGACATATCTTCATTGTCCATTCAAAAACTCCAATATGATTATCTAAAGGGTTGTCACATTAGATATTATAATTACGGACTCCCGAGCTCTTCAATTGACTTCATGGAGTGATAATAATCCAAGAATGAGGTTCTTTGTATTTCTCAAATTCAACATAGAAGATGACAGTCACAAATGCAATTACTTTCATTTTTAAGATCCAATGGTGAGAGGAAGAGCAAGAAATATAATTAATGCTTTCAAGTATACTCGAAAAAGATGTTAGCTATTGAGAATGATCGTTTGTTTAGAGAAAATCTTACTGTAAGAGAGAAGGTTGGCAGTGTTAATGAAGATATAGAGAAAAAACATTTTGGATATAACAATTGTGTTGGTTGTCCGGTTGTAATTATTGTTAAGTTAGTATGGTTGCTACTTGGTGAAATATAATGTTATTGTGAAGAGGTTAATATTGATTGGATTTTGTTAAATTTGTAGGGTTTATTGAATGTGTTCAGGTAATTTGCGGTAGGCAACATATGTAGTGGTTTAAATATTAATGTTAAATTTATATGGTTTAAGCTTAATGTTATGTTGATGTTAATGTAAATTTTGGTTTAATGTTAAAGAATATATTCAATTGACTATTAGCTTTTATGTATGTTTGTTCTTAGCTTATCATAACTAGAAAAGAAGGTGAAAGAATCAAATTATGTTTCAAATTTAAATATTGTCTCGATGTTTATATGACTTTTATCAACCATGATTTTAGAATTTCGTATGGATGATAATTATGAATTTTTCATTTGCAATGTCTAGTAAGGGAAAAGTTGAAAAAGGTAGCTGAAAATTTAATGTAGATTAGTTGTTTTTTTTTTTTAATTTTGTATTAAATTAGGTCCAACAATTGAAGCTTAGTATTTTTTGAAGAACAATTCTCCGAAATTGATGATGAACAATTCTCCGAATTGAACTTCAATTTTACAGAATGTTCTTCAATTTTGGAGAATTGTTGAAAAATTCTCCAAAATTGAATGAATTCATCTTCAATTCATCAATTCTATAGAATTAAAGAACAACTTCAAATCTACAAAATTGAAGTTTAATTTTGTATATTTGAAGTTGTTCTTCAATTCTCATTCTACGAATTGAAGAACAACTTTAAATCTATAGAATTGAAGTTTATTTTTGCAGATTTGAAGTTGTTCTTCAATTCTCATTTTGTAAAATTGAAGAACAACTTCAAATTTGTAGAATGTTCTTCAATTCTCCAAAATTGTTTTATGGGTCAAATTTTTCCTACAAACAAACCAAAAGAATTTGAGTTGTTTGCTCAAATTTTTGGTGCAAAGGCTCTCGCGAATATCTTCGAGAAGGTAACCTATCTTCATAGCCTAACCTCAAACTAGAATTCCGTCCTAGTTTCTTCTTTGATATATGAAGCCAAAGTTTGAGCTAAGTATCTCGTTGTTGGTAATCATTGGTATCATCTAGCTTTTAATTCAAAAGTTAAACGCGATCGAGAAGAAATTGCATATTGTCGAGGAGAAACTGTGCGAGAATATTGTTACCGAAAGATTTAGGATGGTTCGTTTGAGGAATGTATGGTAGATATTGTGAAACTTATAAAAAAACATTGTAAGAAAAACTAAAAGATCCGAAGGGTTTATTATTCACGGTTACTATTCATACATAGCCATCTTCGGTATTCACTTCTTTAGACCTTTGGATCATTCATCATCGTTTTTTGGCCATTTGTTCACCTTAGATTCACAATAATTATATTCAAATTATTAGATTTTGGTACCCAATGTTTATACAATTATTATTTTAACCCATAATTTTATTTATGATATATTTTGGTCTCTAGGTGTAGAGAGAAAAGAGAAAACCGGTCCTAGGTGTAGAGAGGAAGGAAAAAGAAGACAATGAAAGGACGAGAGAGAGAGAGAGAGAGGGCTTATCTCTCGCCACATCGGTCGGTGATATTTTATTCAATTTATTTATTTTGGAGATCGAGTTTGTTCATAGTAATTTCAAGCCATCAAATGATTGGAGAGGGTAGATCGGAGCCCAAAACAATTGAATTTTTCAATTTGATTTTGTTTTCTCGTTTTGTTTTGAGTGTGCATTAAAATGATTTTTAAGGCTTCAAATGAGTTTTTTAAGATTACTTTGGTCAATTTGAAGTATTTGAGGGGAAAAAAATATCAAAATTGAGTTTTTAGAGGTTTGAATGTAGACTCGTGATTTTCCAACAAAGCTTTCGATGAACTTGAGTTTGCTTGGAAGTTGTAAGTTTTTGCTCTTTTTTTATCATGGGTTAGTCGGCGTTGCAAGCCTAGAGAAGCGAGCCGAGTGGAGTCGCTCTAGCGTTTAGGCTTGCACAAAAAGGCCTAAGCATGCCGGCCTAACCTAGGTTTTGTTTTTTTGTGTTTTTTTTCCTCAAATTCAATTTTTAATTTTTTATCAAGAAATTAGGTGGGAAAATTATAGAAAACTCGATAGTTATATTTTTGAGTTTTTCTTACGGTTTTATAGCAATGAAATATATATAATATGTTTTCGCATTTTATGTTGAACATGCATACCGATTATATTGCTTTTACTCGTTTAAAATTTATTTTTTCACTTTATCGTTTTTTTAATGAAAATTCTCATTAAATATATTATTATCATGGATTCTTATGATTTTTAAATCAAAGTAGCATATATATATATATATATATATATATATATATATATATATATATATATATATATATATATATATATATATATATATATATATATATATATCAATTTTGAAATAGTTTTTGTTTCAATTTGTTGACTTTAATATATTCCTTACAACTTATGTTGTTGTTGTTGTTCTTGTTGTTGTTTTTTCCCTAAATGTATGAACTCTTAATCAATTGAGCATAATCATAATGTGTGTGTGTGTGTGTGTGTATGTATCATTTACTTTATTGAAAATTAACTATGTATCTTCACACATAATATCAATTATTTTTTATTTATTATTTTTCATATTCTAAAATTGATTTTTCTCATATAAAATAAGTAAAATAATATTTTCGAAGAATTTTTCAATTATTCAAATACAGACTTTTCATGCATATTATTGATTATTACTAGATTATATTGTTCTTATTGTTTAAGATTTATTTTTTCACATGATCATTGTTTTTTGAAAATTCTCATCAAATTATATATATATATTATTGGAAATTAGCTATGTATCTTTACACGTTACATCAATTATTTGTTTTTTTTTTCATATTCTAAAATCAATTTTTCTCATATAAAATAAGTAAAATAATATTTTTAAAGAACTGCCCAACTATTTAAAACAACCTTTTATGTTAATATTATTGATTATTTTGTTAATAAATATATATAAATTAAATTTACACACTTTAAAAAAAATCTTCCCATAAATATTAAATAAGAATAAAACATATTTGTTAATTTTTTATATCAATTGTTGTTTTATTTTTTGACGTAATCCGATGAAACAATTATTAAAGCACTTTTTTAACTTTTACATCAAATTTTCTATTTATATTATTGCAAATTTTTATTTAAGAGTAAATGCATAAGAAAGAGCAAAATAATTTTTTTAACTATAAAATTTAAGAAAAATATATAAAATTAAATAATTTTACTTGTTTAGTTTGACTTGCAACGTAGCACGGAGAGCCAACTCGTTACTCGCTGAAAATTTTGTGGAATGGATTAAAGAAATGAACGTCTCTAATGAGACTATATATATGGATGGAGATTAGGAATCTTGGGTTACCATTTGGAAAGCCTTTTCCTCTAGGCCGCTTTGGATTTGATGCTATTAATGTGAATCCTATTAATGCGAATCCTTTGATTGATATGGTTCCTCAAGAAATTGGTTCTTATGATACTTTCGTGACTAATCCATCCAACAACAATAGGTCCGATGTTGAGCGTACTACATCGGCTTGGCAATCTTGACAATATTTATCATAGCATTACTTCGGTTACATAGAGGTTTAAATGACACAAATGAGGTTGATAACTTCTAAAGAACTTGGAAATGACACACAACATTGCTCAAGTTTCTTCTAATTTTGTTTGTTAAATATTAAGAGGAAAAAAAGTACATTACCCAACTTATCTTCGTTTTTGACATTAGCAAGATAGTATTCTAAAGCTTCTTGCCTATGGTCTCATATAAATTTAACAATGTCATTGAATAGCATAGGTTTCGAGAAAATTTTTATTGCGCTTAGAAAAAAATTCTTTAGAATTGTTGAACAATTCTCCAAAATTGAATGAATTCATATTCAATTCTAGAGAATTAAAGAACAATTCTATAGACTAACAAAAATTTTGTAGAATTGAAGTTGTTTTTCAATTCTTTATAATTATTGAATAATTCTTTAGAATTGAAGATGAAATTTTCTAGAATTGAAGAACAAATGTGCAAGATAAATAATTTTTCAAACATAGTCTCAAATTCACCAAAATTAAAGAACAATCATTCAACTATCATTAAATCATGAATATGAACATGAAAAATTCTAGAGATTACTTCAATTTTCCAAAATTGAAGAAAAAATGTGCAAGACAAACCATTTTTCAAATATGGCCTTAAATTTGTCAAAATTGAAAACCAATCATTCAACTATCATTAAATCCTAAACATAAACAATTCTTTAGTTCTAGAGATTACTTCAATTTTCCATAATTGAAGAAAAAATGTACAAGATAAATTATTTTTCAAAAAATAACAAGACACTAACATAACTAACTTTTGATCCATTAATAAGAAAATTAGTCAAACATCATCCATTACACATAATCATGATTAATAAAATAAAAAAATGGATTCATTACTTATCATTAATTATTCAAAATACATAAGTCATTTTCATTTTCTTCTTAAACAAGCATGTATTTAGTGTTGATTCTTCGTTGGTCTTCCTTTCATTTTGACATGCGAATTGCTTAGCTTTCAACCTCTTCTTCTTGCTTCAAGCTCTTAGTTATTTATTTTTTATTTTTGTTAATTTTAATGAGTGCCTAGATTTATAACTTGTAAAATACATATACCAGAGCTATAAAGATTGCAAATAACAACAAAAACTTTGTTATAACCAAGCAAATAAACAATAAGTAAATCATACATAAAGAAATTATAAAATAATGACAGACTAAATATATGTTTAACTCACATTCCAAATTGAAAATTTTGTATTAGGATTCACATATAAACTACATGTGTATCTAGAAAGTCCTTTATTTCCAAGTTCCAAGGAAGTAGCTCTTATTCTTGATTCCCGTATTGCAATACCCTCTTGCACTAGCACTTGATCATTTGGGATATTGTTTACTATTGTTTCACTTGGGTAGCAAAAGATGAAGCACCCATTAACCCATCCCGTATTGCCAAAAAAAAAAGTTATTTAACATAATGTTTAATACACTTATATTTACAAAAAAAAAAAAGATTAACAACCTTTTTTTTCCTTCACTCGCATAAGTCCTTGAATTGTGACCTCTTTTATGGCATTGGTAATAATAAACCATAATTTTTTCTCTTGATAAATTCCTCCCTTTATTTTTTGTTTCCCATTCCTCTTTAACCCTTTTATTATTCCTCCTTCCAACCTTCCTCCTTAGAGATGAGGGTCAACAAGATCAAGTCCTTTCTTATTCCAAAGCTTAGCCCATTAACAAATTGCAATGTAAATTGCTAAGCCTTCATAAACATATCCTTCTTGTACTAGTCGGCTAAATAATCTTCTAGCTTCCCATTTCAACTTTCCAAAACACGTATTGTATGGACACAAAGAATTCCACCGATATTCTACAGCCTACAACTACACTTTCTTCAATGCACATCAATAAGATATCTATTCCTAAATTGATTGGCTTCATATCCGTCATCACCATTCCATATTATTTCGATTGTATGAATAAACTATATTTGCCCTTCAATCTTTTACTAGATTTTTGGTCCATAATCTTCCTTGAACCAAATTGGCTCTTTTTCACAATTCTTATTATTACCATCATCCTAATTTCCTCCAACATTATAACGATTGCTTTGTATATAATCCGAAGCAAATATCCATTAAACACTTCACAAATGTTATTTTCAACAATATCACACTTACTATGTGATCGAAAAAAGCTTTGCACCATGCTCGTCATATCAACTTTGAGCAAACCATCCTTTGATTTTTTTTGTTATCTTTTTAAATGCTTTCTCCAAATCGAGTAGAGTTATAGCCCTCGCATATGCCTATAACTTTTCATGAAGCCTCTTAACCTTATAGTTCTTCCTTTAATTAGAAAATATATGCTTTGCATAATTTATGTGCTCAACATATGATATTAAATCTTTTATTATCTTCTCAAGACCCTACCAAGAAAACACATTACAGAGTTAAATTTAGTGACTCGCCATTTACATACTACAAACTACAAATGACAATATACTATAAGTACACAATTTATTTAATTGTTTAACATATATCAAAATCTAACCTTTTATTGGTCGGTCACCGAGTGTTCAATTGTTGCCATTTTCAAACTCTATATCAATATCTCTCATTAAAGGCTCAATAAACCATCTCTAAGTGTATTGATTTTCACCATCAACAACATTGCAAGCTAAAGGAAACATCTAATTATTCTCATCTATTCACATAGCAGCTTAAGATCTCACCTTTATACTTTCCTTTCAAAACACATCCATCCATTCCAAGAATAGGCTCGCATCTTGCATTGAATCCTTTTTTTTGTGCATCAAAACAAGTATAGACAGACTTTGAACATTGGGTGACTCCTAATACTAGGCCCGGTGAACCAACTTTCAATGGTGCTTTGTTTGTTACTTCTTTTTAACTCTTATAAGTAACCTTACAGCATTGCATACTCAATACTATCAGCATTATGAAAATGCCTCTTTATCCTTTTCTTTGCTCTTCTAACTTAATTAAGACTTATGTTATAGTATAATTTCTCTCTTGATCATGTTTTCACTTTTTGTTTTAATCTATTTTCAAAGCAATACTACAAAAGTTGTTGATGAAGTACTTTACAATAACCCTCAACTTAATCTTTCTAATCTTAAATATAACTTGATATGTATGTTCATCTACAAATGTCTTAATTTCAAAGCTAACTCGTATGCTTTTTATATCTTATATAAAAAACTCATTGAGAATTCTTATCGCTACACTTTGCTCTTACTCTTTCTCTCGTCTCACTTGAAAAATTCAATCTCCTTCCTCTTATTCACACAATGATCTTTTAAAGACTAGATGATTTGTTATTTATTTGTAAAAGCCGAGCCAAGAGTAAACTATAGATCTTTGGTAGTATCATCAAAATATACGAGTTTTGGACTTCTTCTTCCTAACTCGATCTATCTCATCATCATCATTATCATTGCTTAATTCGTGACTTCCATCTTCATTGGAATCAAACTCATATGAACCTATACTAAAATCCACTCCTTCGAGTAGCATTAATCCTAGATCATTGCCTATTTGATTATGGAGTATCAACTAGTGGTGCTATCGGGACACTAGCAATGTATTTTTTACTTCTCACTTGTTTTAACTCTACAAAATTGTTTCTAATAACAACTAACTCATCATCATCATTATCCATAAGCCACGACAATAATCAATTCCGCATCATCATCTAGCTCCAATACACTATCATATCCATCCATAGCATCTCCACAATCTTCCGAACCGTAATCTCTAGCATCTCCCTTTTCATTTCCCAACCTATAAGTGTTCCTCTTGATATCATCCGACACAAACTTTATCTCAATGCTTTCAAAAGTATGTCTCACACTATGTTGGGTGTTAGACTACCCATACAACAATGTACATTATTAAATTGCCCTTCCTCATAATTTGCATAAATACCCTCATATTCACAAAAAAATTACAACATCATTAAGCCCAATAACATGACTACCCTTACCAACCTCTACCATCAATATCTATATTTGTGCCTATATTTTGTTCATAAACCACATTCTCAACACCATCCTCAAGGTCAATCAGCTTTATTCCCATCAATAACTAACATTTTCACACCCTTAGCAAAAACTCCATATTCCCTTACTCAATAAAATAATCCAAAAAAAAAAGATGCTTCATTATACACACAAATCAATTGAGTTTTTAATGTATATCCATTCCTTAAAATCATACAATGTATCTTCTTAGGATAAACTCATCCATAACTTTTATCAAGTTGCTTCAAGGCTAAAAAGGAAAAATAATCACTATCAACCAATTTAATCTCACAAATCCCACTAAGTGTACTTCAAATTGGGATTTTGAATAAATTCTCCTCCAATATGCAATAACAAAGCTGAATTTGGTATTTCATTTGTGAATTTAATAATACACAAACAACAAACTATATGGCACCACTACTTTATCACACATTCAATTTTGCATTTTATGATTTTGAAGTAAAAGAAGAAGAATGGTGGGAAGCCATGAAATCACATGGTCACAAACCAAATTTGAGGAAGATTTCAAAAATTGAAAATGCCCTAACCGATTTTACCCTCAATTCAATCAAATAGAAAAAAAAAACCCATAAAACGTTAATATTATCTCTCTCTCTCTTCATAATATCGTCTCTCTCGTGTTTAGATGTAAAATCAAGATAATAATGCCAACTCTCTCTCTCTCTCTCTCTCTAGTTTTAGTTTAATTGTTAAAAAAAAAAATGAAAACAATAATGGTCAATGTAGATGATCGTTACATTTAACGCAAATTAAGAAAATTATATCAAAATTACCCAATCTCCAATATTTTAGAATTCAAATTATACGATTTGATAACATTGACTCGAAATTGCCAAATCGTAATAAATTGGGGGTAAAAATTTCCATTAAATCTTTAATTGTTTAAATGATATAGTGCATCTCATAGGACCACCATATGGTTCCCCCCCCCCACCACACACCC